ATGTCTCTATTTAATTTTTATGTTTGCCTCCCCAAGCAGGTCATAAAATCCTTGAGGGTAGGTTCCTAATATTATGCTTTAAAAAAAATCAATAGCAATAAGCATAAGGAATTGGTACATATTAATGGTTTTGTCAAATGAATGGCACTTCTTAAAAGTACTTAGAAACAGCCCAGTGTTAATAGAAGGGATCTTCCTCTTAGTTCTGGAGACAGCTTACAGGTCACCCTTTGACTCGATGAAGAAAGCCCCCGAGTCCTGAGGCGGGAGCAGCTGAGCAGAAGTCAGGAATTAAGAGCTGCTGCAGGAATCCGCTGTCCACCAGGGCGTTTGAGGCTCCCTCTCTCTGACCTCCATGGCAGAAGTCAGAGTACACGAGCTCTGCTTGTTTTCGTCACCTAATCAAGGCACAGGCTGCCTCTTCGCTCTTACTCCAGACCCTGGCACCTGTGCGGGGAAAGAGAAGAAAAAGGGGACACATCCTTCAGGCTTTCTCACCCACCCCACCTGTCACGTTTGTTAGTAACCAGAGTCTGGAGAATCCTGTGTCTGTGTGTACAGACGCATGTGCACGACCGAGTCCCCCTTGGGTCCCGGCAGTGACCGCAATGTGTTACACACTCTCTGAGGTCTGCACAGTTGAACCGGAGTCTGACAAAACGTCTCGTTCCATGGGCTCACCCAGAACTGTTGTAAGGTTGGCAGGGTGGAGTGGCTCTGGGTCATGGACACCAGCCTCCACTTTGACCAGCTCGTCACCTTGAGTGCGGTCAAAATTCAATTTATGCTGGTGCACAGGGACATGGGTTTTTTCTCTCATTCTCCTAAACACAGAATTTGGCACAAGTAACGCCCCCCCCCCCCGTTTATTACCTGAAACTTTTATTACAAGGTCATGAGCATGAAATTCTGTAATATAATGATATCACACTCAAGCACACCATGTGACATTTTAGGTGACATGTTCAAATTGCTGGCCATCTCGTGCGAGACATGCACGTATCCTACCAACCACACTCAGTGGCGTGACTTCAGCCCGGCCCTGCATAACTCCCTTCCTTTACTAACACAGAGGTTGGAAATGTACCTTGAAGTTCAAATACGTCAGCAAGCCCTCACAGTCAGGAGGCTCACAGTATTTCTGAGGCTCTTTCTGGAATTTTTCCGGAATAGTTCTCTCTCTCTCTCTTTCTTTTTTATTTACGCAGTTGCCTGTTACCATGTAATTCTGTCAGAATCCATTGTCTTTGTCCTGGATTCATCCATCCAGCCTGGGCAGGGTAAACAATTTTGTTTCAGTGACTGTCAGCCATTCACCTCCCTGCGTGAGCAAAGACTCCAGCATTCCCTGGGTTCCCCTTGGGCACCATAACTGAGTTTTACAGATAAGCAAAGTGATGCTCGGGGCGTATATCCGTTAATGACCCTTCCAATGCCAGCAGCTGCCAAGAAGCACAGCTGATACTTGACCTTGCTTTAAAGGCCCTTCGACTTTAAGCCCCATGCTTTTTGTTAATATAATTTCAACATCTAATCTAATACATCAAAAAGCTGGTGATAATCTACCTATAATTGTGGATCAATTCGCTCTTTTTTAAAAATTTTATAGCACTTTATTAAAACCTTTAGTGATACAAGCATACAAGCTTTTTTTAAGGTTCTTTTTTTTCTTGTGGTTCTATTACAGTTGTCCCAGTTTTTCCCCTGTTGCTCTCCCCTGCCCCGCCCATCCCCCCGCCCACTGCTGCACTCCGGCAGGCCACCCCACCCTGTTGTCCATGTCCAATGGGTCATTTAGACTTGTTCTTTAACTAGGCCCTTGCCCTTCTTTACTCCCTTATCTCCCTTCCCTCTCCCCTCTGGTCTCTGTTAGTCTGTTCCTTATTTCCACATCTCTGGTTCTATTTTGCTCATTTGTTTTGGTTTGGTGTGTTAGGTTCCTGTTGTAGGTGAGATCATATGGTATTTGTCTTTTGCCACCTGGTTTATTTCATTAGCATAATACTCTCTAGTTCCATCTGTGCTATTGCAAAAGGTAGGAGTTTTTTCCTTGTCTCTGCTGCGTAGTATTCCATCGTGTAAAGGTGCCATAGTTTCTTGAGTCCCTCATTTACTGGTGGGCACTTAGACTGTTTCTAGAAATTAGCTATTGTAAACAACGCTGCTATGAGCATAGGGGTGTATGACCTTTCCATCTGTTCTACCCAACTGGTGGCCGGTGTTACCTTCCTAAATGTCTTTGCCTTTGTCTTCTCTAGGTAAATATATTGTCAGTTCAGGACGAGAGAAATAGGTTTGCGACTGGAGACTGGGGACATTGCTTCAGAGTAGGCCAAGGCTTCACTGCAAGATCTGCTATGTTTTTAATGATTCTGTACGTGAAGGAAAATATTTTTCTTCTACCCTCCTATGTTCAGTAACTGGGAGCCCTGTGAATTAAATTGACAAAGGACAGATTAACAACAGAAAAAAAGATTTAATTGTGTCCTTATGCATGGGAGTTCACAAAGGAATGTGACTCAAGGAGGTGGCTGTTTTTATTTCATTTTTTAAAAATAACTTTATGGGCTTTTATTGAAGGAATGCTTACAGAGGGAGGGCACGGCAGCTTTAGGGGACAGTTAGCACCGAAGAGAGACGGTCTCCTGGGAATTTCAGGAAGGGGCCAGAGAGTCACCCTTCGGAGAGTATTTCAATAATCATTAAAGAACACATTTGGAGTACTGGTTTTTTCCTCGTTTCTCTGAGGCATTCCACCATTTTAATTTTTGTAAGAATTTGTATTAGAATGTGGAGGCTTATATACCATCTTAGGCTAGACAAAGGAAAGGGTTTGGGATTTCTGGAGGTAAGTTATGGGGAGGTGAGGAGAGGAAAAGCATGTAGGTTTGTTTAGTAAGCTTTGTTATGCAAATAAGAGTCATGGGGGTGGGGCTAAGAGTTGTCTCTGGAATAATTCTTCCTGGTAGCCAGATGTACACACCTGTCCAAGTAGAAATGTATGTCCTGCTTTTAGTCAGGGGGAGGGCAGAGAGCTAATGGCCTTCAGCTCAGAACAGTCCTAATGTGGGAGTGTGGTGGTCTGGGCTGGTAAATTCCAGTCCTCCTCATGCCCGAGAGCACAAACCTATAGCACTGATTCTGGGGTGTTGGCATGCGCCGCCTCCCATTGTTATTATGTCTCTTGCAAAGGTGTAATCTACTGAAGCAAGAAAAACAGTTTCTTTAGTTTCCTGTTTGTAGTGCTCCCTTGTAAAAGCTACCTGTACTTAGCATCCATGACTCCCCAGAACACTCCCGGGTAATATAACGCTCTCTGCTTTACAGACAAAGACTCGAGGTCAATTGGTGTGTGGAAATCATTCTGCAGCTGTGTGAGAAAGGACACAGAATTTGTCCCTAGATCTGTGTGTTAGTGAGGGTTCTCCAGAAAACCAGAAACCAAAGGATGTGTATGTATATATAAAAAGAGATTTATTTTCAGGAATTGGCTCATGCAGTTATGGAGCCTGGCCAGTCCAGTCTGCAAAGTGAGCCAGTAGACTCAGGAAGGAGCAGATGTTCTAGTTCAAGTCTAATGGCAATCTGCTGCCGAATTCTCTCCCACTTTTGTTCTACTTGGGCCTTCAACTGATTGGGTGAGGCCCACCCACACTATAGAGAGCAATCTGCTTTACTCAGTCTACTGATTTAAATGTTAAATCTTATCCAAAACGGCCTCACAGAAACATGCATAAGAATCTTTGAGCAACTCTCTGGGTACTGTGGCCTAGCCAATTTAACACCTAAAATAACTGTCATCCCTGGTGAACTGCAAACTCCACTCACCTGCTTATCACACCACGGTTCTTCTCTACAGGGGTTAATTGTTGACCTTGAGTCAAGTTCAAGCCATGCACACTAATCTTCGGCAAAAGCTTCCCTGTGTTATGTGAAATGTGTAATCAGTGCTATTTAAAAGGTCTTTGTTTTCAAAGGAAATCCTTGAGGAGTTTTCTGCCTCCTGAAACTTAAGAGGCAAACCTGACGTGGGTGGTTATAAAGAAGGCAGACATTGTCTCAGCCTCCTAGCTACAGAGCCATGGTCAGGGAGGTCTCGACAAACTGTTGAATACAAGCAGGGAAGCAAGAGGAGAAGAGAGGAGCTAGGCTTTTATATTTAAGCAGAGCCATTTTATTTTTACTTTCTGAAATGAGAGAAAAGGAAAACAAAACTTGATTACTCGTGGGCTAGCCATCAACACCATGTATAATGAAGTTTCCCTAAAGTTTCAGTTATAGTTCAGCCTTTTTAAAATTGATTGATTGATTGACTGATTTTAGACAGAGAGAGAGATCGTTTTGTTGTTCCACTTATTGGTTGATTCCAACCAATTCATTGGTTGATTCCTTTTTACAATATATGTATTTTTAGAACTTATTTATTTACTTTTAGAGAGAGGGGAAGGGAGGGAAAAAAACATCAATGTGCGAGAGAGACATAAACCGGTTGTTCCTTGCTCCCCCCCCCAATAGGGACCTGGCCCCCAACCCAGGCATGTGCCCTAACTGGGGATCAAACCAGGGACCTCTTGGTTTGCAGGCCAGCGCTCAATCCACTGAGCCACACCAGCCAGAGCCACTGGCTGATTCTTGTATGTGCCCGGATGGGGGGTGGAGCCTGTAACCTTGGTGTATGACGGCAACCCTCTAACTAACTGAGCTGGATGCCCGGGGCCTATTTTAGCCTATTTTACATAGCAATTTTGCTTTTAAGATATTTTAAAACTTCTGATTGAAACCAAAAACAAAGGCTTCAAACAAACTGATTCCTCAGAATGTGTTTCTCTGATTCTGGAAGCTTCTCCCGATGGGGCCGAGCCTAGAAGCAGAGCTGTGAGCTCAGCAGGAATGTTTTGGGCGGGGGGGGGAAGTCCAGGAAAAGCCTTAGAAACACGGTCTTGTCAGTTTTTGCAGCAAAAGAGTCCTATGAAACTCAATGGCCCAAAGTGTCCCAACTTTTTATTCATTTTTATGTTTCGTATTTTTTTATTGTGGCAAAATATAAGTAACATAAAATTTATCATTTTAACCATTTTTAAGTTTACAGTGGAATGGCATTAATTACATTCACAGTGTTATGCAACCATCAGCACTATTTCCAAAACTTTTCATCGTCTCAGACAGAACCTCCGTGCCCATGAAGCAGTGCCTGCCCAGTCCTCCTCCCTTCTGCCCCGGTAACCTCTGTTCTACTTTCCACCTCTGTGACTGTGCCTGCTTCAGGTACCTCCTGTAAATGGAATCACACAATTTTGTCCTTTCGTGATGGGCTCTCACATAGCATAATATTTTCAAGGTGGCATGTGTCACAACTTCATTGCTTTTTACGACCGGGCATTTTCTTGCTGGGCGATACATAGATTTTCCTTCCTGTTGAAGAGGAAGGACGTGGTGGGTAGGCATCAGTGTGAGGCTGTTCGCTGAATTCTTCCAAATGTTCCGTTAGGTGGACAGGGATGAGACTTCAACAAGCACACAGAGAGCATCCCTCTGGTTGCCAGAAGAACCGAATTAAAGTCCTTCTCTGCTCCGCCTGTCCCGATCCAGTTAATTTCCCTGTGCCCAGGGCTTCAACTCTTCCCCAGGCCCTGGGAAAATCATATTCCCCATGTCCCGAATCTCGTGGGGGCGGAAAACATTTACCTGATACAATGCTCCCAGCTGATTACACTTTGGGGGCCATGAATCATTTTTTAAATAAAAAATCTACACGAATGAAGATCTAGTCTTTAAAAGTCAAGTAGAATGCCTGGAAGTTTTAAAACACCCACACCGAGAACATTCTAGAAGAGATATGTCCTCTTTTCTAGCTTGAAGATCCACATGATCCTGGTTCCCTGGAAGCCCAGTGACATGAACAGATACCCTCCCTTGCTTTTTCCCTCTGATGATTGTGTTTTGTCCTTTGCTACAGCCATCTGCCACCTTCTTCATCAGTAGTGCATCAGTGAACCAACAAACATGGCGGAGTGGATGGGTAATTGATCATTATAAGTGAATAAGCATATTACAAACAAGTACTAAATAATTAATGTTGTTAAAGTGAATCAGCTATCTCTAATCATTAGTATCATAAATAGTTATTTAGTAATTAATACTGAAATTAAAGTTGACTAAAATTTGTCATGTTTATTCATGATTCTCTAAAAGGCCTCCAGCCAGATATTACTGATTAACCAACTGGCCGTCTCCTCTTGGCATCCTAAGAAACCAGCCTTTGAATCCTGGGAGCGTGGATCGGACTCGATGGCCATGGCGCAGAGACATAGAATGAGTGTTGCGGGAGGGTGCAAATGCCCAGCTCGCTGTGAGCTCCCAGAAACTCGCGTGCCTCCTCCGTGCTAGTCGGTAACTACATGAGAATTTATAGTGGAGTTCTTCAGCACTGGGTCATTATTTGGCCTTAACGACAGCTTCAGGCGGAGGGCCTGGGGCTTCGCAATGCTTAGCTGAATCAGCTGATGAAAGTTCTTCCGGGCTGAGAAGCCCGTGGCTGTTTCAGCCCTGAGTTCGCCTGGCAAGGGCACAGCTGGCCTCTGTCAGAGCAGTGAGGGCCCGGCGTTGCCACCTGTGTCTCTAGGACAACTACCTGGGCTTCGTGCCTGGAGGTGCTGATTGTGTTGTTTGCTGAGCAAGGACGCCGTGGTCCGGCTGGGCACACCTGGTCTTTGGCATGGACGGGCTTTTCTGTAGGGCATTACTGTGAAGGGGCAGGTTCTCAGACAGGAATCCAGGACTCAGGAGGCGGGAGGGCCTCTCTCAAGGGAGAAGAGGAATCCTAAGATTTTTCTGAGCCTCACGCTCGGGTCCGAAATTTGAGGATTCTGGGTGGCAGGAGTTAAGCATGGCCCCGGGACCTGGGCGGAAGTTTGGAAACCCTACACTGAAGGCTAAAATGCTGTAGTTTCTGAGTCAGCATATTCATCCTTCTGTGTGTTCAGAGAAAGTTGCTATCCCACACGAGTGGAAAGTTTTCAGTGCAAAGCCTCAAGGCTATGTTAACTACGTGGAGTAGGGAGGGGGTTGGGTGAGGCAGTGGGGAGGGAGGGTGTTAGAGTGGCCGTCCTATGCCCACTCCTGGGCCAGGTGGTGACATAAGGGGCCTGGGCTTCTCCCTGCAGCGCCCACTTGATGTCACCTGGCCTCGGGGAGCAGGGACCTGTGACAGGGCCCACCTGCCCTTCTCAGTCAGGATTGGAGGAGACAGAATTTCCAAAGCTGGGACCTTGTGGTGGTTCATTTAATATTTCAAGGTCAAGTAAGCGAGGCTGACTGTGCAAAGAGAAGTTAAATATTTGCTGCCTCTCTCCTGGTCTCTCTTAGGCCCAGCGTGTCAGACGGCTTGGTGTTATGGGAACCGCCCCCTGGCCCCGCAGTCTTTTGTCCTTTTGATGAGCAGGGCCGGAAGTTTTAGTATTTGTCTGTAAACACTCTCCACCTTGCAGTCTCTCCAGACACCAGAATAGGTGCAAAAATCTTAAGACTAAAAACCAAAAATGTTATGGGAAAAATTCTGGAAAACCGACCACTTAAAAAATCCCAAGTGTGTGTTTCTCAAAAGAGATTACACTTAAACTTGGCTTTGGGGCAGACTGTTCCCACTGGACTGAGTCATTGGCATGAACTGGACGTAACTGTGCCCATGGGAATGCCCCCTTCCAGGGGCACCGTTGGGAGGTGGCACCAGGGGCAGAACGACTCCCGGCCGCGCGTGACTGCAGCCAGCCCTCGAGTCCCTTGCGAGGTTGCATGATCTCCCAGCAGCTGTCCATAGGGGAGGAAGGTGGACAGTGTCTGCCTGCTAGACAGACGAGCAGACGGGATTGTCGCCCCGTGATGGGCCTGTGGTTGTCACCAGAACAGGCTTTGGTCCAGCTCTCCCCAGATTGGCTCTCTGGGGCCCACTGAGTAAGCACGACCCACCGACTCAGGCCTGTAGGGGCCAGAAGGGTGACAGAGCTGATGAGAAGAGGCTGATGGGACTCTGGCAGACGGGAGCGCAGCTCCGGGGAGAGATGGCGCTGCTTCCGAGCTGACACAGAACCGCCATCTTCCTGTTTTTTGGGAAAATATGGAAATTTTGGTTTTCTTCAGTGTGAAATATGTCACTTGGAATATTGATAATGATTCACAGTTAAAAAAAAACTGTGTTGTGAATTTATGACATTGACATTGAAAGATATTTTGTCTCAACACTTTGCTCTTGAACAGTGTGTGCAAATTCCTTGCTGATGACAGTAACAAAATGGACCCCAAGAGCCGGGCCCTTTCTCCCTTCTCCTTAAATCTCTCAGGGTTTAGGATCCTGACTTGCTGAATTCTCCCAAATGTCCCGTTAGGTGGACCGGGATGAGACTTCAACAAGTTCTGCAGCAAAGCAGACCCCAGGGCCTGATGGGCCAGCTGGGCAGGACACGGCCCATGCCCTGCTGACCATCGCTCTTATTAAGTAGCCCCCTGGGTTTGGGGCACAAACCTCCCATTACTGAAGTGCACCCCCTGCCAGGGTGATGCTGGGCTTCTACTGCATCTGTCTTAACACCACCCAAAGGCCTGAAAGAGGAAGGAAAAGAAAAGCCCATCAAAACCCATCCCGACCCGCAGGGAAATGGCATGGGGTCAGGTTCTGCCCCACGGGTGGCAGCCTTGCTCTGCAGCTGAACTGCGGGGGTGGGGGGCTCCCAGCTGGCTGACCGCGAAGATGCAGAAGTCTTCGGCAGCCCCTTTCCCAGTCTAAAGGTCAGCAAGAGAGACTTTTGACATTTGGACTTTGCGGGGGCTGATGAGTACTGGAGAGACGGAAGTACTCATGGACCCAGGCCCACACCCAGCCTCAGGGTTTCGCCGGGGCTGGGGCCGGGCTGGAACGCTGTTCGGGAGGTGGAAGCCCACCGGCGGAGTCCCGGTGGTCTGCAGACTGCATTATTCTAGCAGCTTTTCTTCCTCTCCAGCGCAGCGTTCAGGGCAACCTCCTGTCCTCTGAGAGATGATAAAAATAATGAGGCTAAGATGAAAGGACCAAAATAGATGTTTTTATTTGAGCAGACACCCTATGTGTGTCATGGGGCAGAGGGAACGGCCTTGGATCTGGGGTCCCCCCACCCTGTCTCCGGCCCTTTTGGGGAAGGGTCCGTCTGGGCAGCCTCATCCCTTTAGGCCACTGCCTGCCCTTTGCCTCTCCCTGAAGGCCTTTACGATTGCATGTTTCTGCTTTAACGTACCACAGAAAATGCACGGGGACAGACGGGGACGGGAACACGACACAGATGTTCACGACTTCTTCCCCAGTGTCCCAGGACTACGTGCTTCAAGCTGGTGGTTTTGAGGAATGATGAAAACCATGTGGGTATTTACCCCAACTTCCAAGAACTAGAGGCAAATTCTAGGACAGTGGGAGTTTTCTGTATGTAAAAATAGGAGAGCACATCTGGCAAGGAGTTACTGCTGCCGTTAAAAAGAACTTGAAGGCTTTTCCCAGCAAGGCACAGCCCCTGGGGTGCTGCCTACCCCCCAAGGCTGGGGACTGATAAAGATTCCCCTCAGCTCCTCCTGTCCACAGAGAGAGGGAACATCCTGACAGTGAGTCATACCCTGCTCTAATCTGTCCTCACTTTTTCAGAAATTTCTAGAACTCTAGCTTGCCGGTGCAGGTCACTCGTCTATTTAAATTAGCTCGTTGGTCCCCAGACTCAGCAGATTGCAAAGACGTCTCAAGGTCAGGCTCCAGCATAAACCAAACCGCTCACAGGGCCACACATAGTCCCCCTCCTCCCTTGCTGTTGGTTTGTTCTCTCTTTGTTCTAGGTCTCTCCCTCCGCTTGACTGACTTACAGTTGAAGGTCCGGGCTTTGCTAGATTCCCGGAGGGCCGCCAGCACTGCCCACGCCATCTGAGGGAGGAGGGACTTGGCTCCCACAGGAGCCTGGCGGTCCCTGCTGTTTCCGGCCTGGAGTCACACACCCACTTTGAATTGTCTTCTTCCTTTCCGGCGTCGTCCATCACATGATGAGACCTTCAAGCACAAGGACCATGTCTCCTCCTTGTCCTCCAGAGGACAAATTTTTCTTTCCGCAAGTGCGTCCTGGTTGCTGGGCCAAGCTCTGTACAGGTAGTGGTGAAAAACATGGAAGGAAAGACATGATCGCCACCTGTGTTAATTGGGCTGCCGTAACCAAGTGCCACAAGCTGACTGGCTTAAACAACAGAAGTGCATTGTCACACAGGTGTGGGCAGGGAGTAAAGTGACCAAGTCAGCATTCTCTGCCACCTCGGGGGAACAGACCTGCGAACCCATCAATAAAGCTGAAGCATAACGGCTGTGCTAGGAACATGGGCGGGCACAGAGGAAGCAGAAAAGCCAGAGGAATTCCTGTCCCCTGCAGAGGGCTCGGCACCGGAGGGGGGGGGGGGGGAGGGGGGGGGGGGCGGGGGAGGATGGTCGAGGGGCGCTCAGGGAAAGCTTTGCAGTGCAGTGGGTTCCAGCCTTTGTGCCTCGAGCAGAGGTCCCGGGAAGCCGCTCCGGAAGATCGCTGCAGGATAGAGCCTGGAGACTGGGTCTGCACCCACGCGGGTGCACTGGGGCCGGCTGCGTTTGAGATCTAGAACCTATGCGTTTGTTCTTATCCGTGCTGTGGTTGAGCTGGCGTGGACGTGGGCAGAGCAAAGTGTTGGCGTAATCATAAAAGCCCGCCGTCATTCCCGCTTGAGGGATGTCCCAAGCAACGGATACCAGTGAGGATGTCTGTGCCCAGGCAGTGGGTTCTGCAGTCGGCATGGGAATAGAAATGACGGCGGGAAGCGGGTAAGAGGCAGGGAGGGCCTGAGGGTCCGACGCACCCCCCTGCAGAGCCCCTAGGGGGCAGCACCACCAGGCTGGGTGTTCAACTGGGTGAGGTGAGTGGGGGTGACACGTAACTGACTGCATTCCCCTTGAGCGTGAGCGCCCCCTCGTGGCGGGGGAGTGAGTGCGTTTGCTTCTACAGTCACCAGGTGGGCTCTGGTGCCACCTTGGAGAAGGGATCCGTGTGAGCTGATTCCCCATATGTGGTTAGGGACCCTGTTCAAAGCCTTTTTTCTCGCCTATTGTTTCACTCCAGCCCCATCTCATCCCTGAGAAATAGGTGGGGCAGGGATTACTGATCTGGCTACAGGTGAGAAAACACAGAGGCCAAGCGGCTGGCTGGGTGGGCCAGGGACAGCCGGGCCGGCCTCTCCTTGACCCCTGCCTCTCTTCATGGGGACCCGTGTCCCCTTCCAGTCGCGGCGCCTCATCTCTTTCCAAATTGTGCAAACGGGATGCATTAAACTATCAAGTTACTTCCAGCTGTGCCTTAAAACCCAGCGTGTGGAAAGCAGTAGGTCAGACAGGTGCATGTGCCCTGTGGATCACCTAGGAACAGGGCCGGGGGTACCAAAGCCGCATGGGGGTGTCTTAAGAAACCAGTGCTGAGTGAGAGGGCAAGAGGCAGCCAGAGAGACAGGACACAATAGGCTTTCAGTAAATTAAAAATGCATGCGTAAAAAAAAACCACAATATTTTTAAGAAATTGACCCTAGCTGAGAATCATTTACGGACGGATCAGATCTCACTTCTACCCTGACTGGTACACAGCTTTGACTCAGGGCTCAACTTCCTAAATAGCAACTTTCTCATCCGTAAAATGGGGATCACGTTAGTGCCTACTCCAAGGCAGCTGTGAGAATTAACCCATTTATGTCTCCTGGCCCCTCGAGCATGGGTCCTGCATCGTACCTCTAGTCATTATTTCTCCATGCAGTCTTAGAACAGCGACAGATTTCTGTGTGTGAATTATACTTTCCAAAGTAGCAGAAAGGGGCGTATTAGGGTGTACACATTTCCTTGGAAACACCCGAGGTGTAAAGGAGCCTAGTAGGGTTCAAAACAAAACAGAACACAATGAAAACCTTTTCTTGTCTGTCCTGAATTGACACAGGTTGTTGGAAAATCTCATTCCTGGTGAGGAGTCTGGAAACCATGGATGGTTACCATGGCTGCGAGGAGGAAGCAGAGAGACTTTCCGGCATTGTTTACTGAAGAAAGGGGAGCCTAGGTCCACTAAGGACTAAGGACTACGCCTGTGTGCTTTGGTCTAGAAGACAGGAACGATGGCAAAAACGCTTAGAAAAACACAGCCGTGCCCTTTTCTGGGAAACCCCAGCATGTACCTCAGCACCCCGAAACCTTCTGTCCCCAACTCTGCCAGTATGCTCCCTCACAGGGAAACACAGCCGAGGTCTCCTTTCCTCCACGTTACCGGGGATTTTTTTGTCTCAAGTGCCACTATATTCTACAGTTGTGTTTATGTTCTCAGTATTTTAGGGACACTTTTTCTCATGAAGTGAAGGTGCATGATTCATAGTGACCCAGATTTCTGGATTAATTGCAAGAATTGTGGAAATGGTGCGAGAGGAGAGGATGCATGAAGTCACTCAGGCCTCCCCGACTTGTTCAGGGCTGTTTCCACCGACAGTGGCTTCTGATCTGTCAAATGGGGGTGCCAGTGGTTATTAAGTGAGAATGACCTTTAGCGGGGTAGGTGTAGTTTTGGGTTCTGTGTTTACCCCTTACAGAGTATTAGTTATGCGATGATCTCACCCACAAACTGAATATAACACTCATATTGAATATCGCACCCAGTCACACGACGCTGTGAGGCCTTGCGATGGCGTCTAGAAAACAGTGAGCATAGAATAGCAACTACACCCCCAGCATGTCCGTGTCCTAATTTCTGGAACACGTGAATAGTGTGGCAAAAGGGACCTTGCAGGTTTGATCATGTCAAGAATCTTAAAGTAGGGAGATTATCCTGGATTATCCCGTCGGGCCCGGTATAATCACAAGGGCCCCACATGAGAGAGACAGGAGATCAGAATGAGTAGCAGAAGAAAGTGACGTGACCACAGAAGCAGAGATTGACGCGATGTGGCCACCAGCCAAGGAATGCTGGAAAAGGCGGGGGATATGTTGTCCCCCAGAGCCCCAAGGGAACCAACCCTGCCAGCACCTTGATTTTAGTTCCAGGGGACTTATTTCTGACACTCTGATCTCCAGGATTCAAAGATAATAAATTCGTGTTGTTTTAAGTTACTAAGACTATGGTAATTTGTCACAGCAGAAATAGGAAACTAAACCAGCCTTCTACAAATGGTGGTTATTCTCATTATCAATATGGTAATATTCATTCAAAATGCGGAAACCCTTTGAAAATTGTGAAGTGCCATGGGGAAGATTGGGATCGTAAGTGTTCTTGTTTTACTCTGTTTACATTTAAATCAAGTCAGCTGCTTTGAAAGTTTGCATTTCAATATTTTCCTATGATTGAATCCATGTACCGCAAAGCTATGTATTCATTCTCTTTGCCATTTTCCAAGAAGATTTATATCTTAAGAGATAGTCAAGTACAGCCCTTGCCCCACAGGGACGCGGTCAACTGACCTCCCCCGCTCATGGGTTTGTGTCACATAAGGCGCTGCAGCTGCCTGACCCGAGCACTCGGGGGACTAGTCAACAAGCAGGGAAAAGAAAAGAGCCCGCTGAGGTGGACAGTGGTGGACACCGCCAGGAGTCTCCTCATATCCATTCTTCCCATATGGTGTCAAGACTCTACCGGGACACATGGTCACCCCAAAACAGGGACTAACGTTCTCGGACTGCCTTGCACGCAGATGTGGTCACAGCTGAGTTCTGGCCGATGAGTTGGAAACAGAGTGGACATATGCACCTCCAAGGAAATGTCCTCCAAGAGCAAGTCTGTGCCGTCCACACTCCTTTCCATGTCTTGTTCCTGCTGGCTGGACTGCAGACATGACGTTTGGGTGGCTGTGTTGCGATCTGTCCCACATTCCTCACTGCTGGACATTTAGGTTATTTCCAAATTTCCACTACTCCGAATAATCCTTGGGTGAGTATCAGTGTGGTGCCATCTTTACAATCGGCGTTTTAAATATTTTTTAAAAGGTGCATGTAATAAAAGAACATCTATTCTTGGTAAAAACTTAAAACATTACAGATTTGACTGAAGTCCCCATTAATGACCAGTGTTAACTAATCACAGTCACTCTTATTTTAAAATATTTTATGTATTTACTTTTTAGAGAGGGGAAGGGAAGGAAAAAGAGAGAGAGAAACATCAATATGTGGTTGCCTCTTGAATACCCCCCACTGGGGACTTGGCCCCCAACCCAGGCACGTGCCCAGACTGGGAATTGAACCAGTGACCCTTTGATTCGCAGCCCAGCACTCAATCCTCTGAGCCACTCCAGCCAGGGCAAATTACTCTCGCTCTTATAGAGATAACTACCTTTATTGGCTAATGTGTACCTTTCTATTTTAACATGTTTACATATATTTTCATGCATCTTGATAAAGTGTATAGTGCTGGGTAGTTTTTATCTGTGATGCTGGGGGTGGCACCAAGATGTTAACGTGCTCCATAGACCCCCTCAGCAGCAGTTTAGCAACGTTTACGCATCAGCACAGAAGCTCCGCCTCCCTCTCTGTAACTGCGGCGGAGGATTCCGCCACAAGGGCAAGTCACTGCTTCTTGAACTCTTTGCTGTTTCTGGTCTTTCTAGTTTTTGCTAGTGCAAAGAACGATGCAGTGGATCTATTCTTTGTGCACACGCGCAAAGGTTTCTCTGGGGAGATTCAGAGCAGTGGGATCGCGCCATCATGGAAGAGGCACATATCACATTGCCCGCCAGAGCGACTGCCCAGTAACTCTGCCCCAGACGTCAAACGAGGGTGTGGGTGTCCCTCCAACTTTACCCACGTTTGGTGTCATCTAAGCTTGGGTCGTTGCCACTCTGATTGAAAATGCTGTCCTGTTTTATTTGCATTTCCCTGATACATAGTGAGATGAAGTGTCTTCTCAAGGTTATTGGCCATAGTAGGTCATATTCCTGAAAATTTAGTTGCTGGGTCGGAGGGTATGCAGCCTGTGTATGTGTGGGTATCTATATGTATGTATGTACATATGTTTGTATGTACCACTAATCTTTGAAGATTACATATTTTTTCCAAATTGAGTAATATTTTTCCTTCTATAATAATTGAGTCAAATGAACCAGCTCACTACCTAGTCTGTAAATTCTATTTTTTTCCTATTCTCTACAGCACTGAGTTTAATTTTTTTTTACTTTGGTAAGTAAATATAGCATCTCATTTATTTTAAATTGGTTTCATTGAATAAGGATGACTGTTTTCTTATACCTTTTGACAGTTTATACTTTTTTGTGAATGACTTCTTTATTTCCTCCATTTTGGGGTGAGGTTGTTCATCTTTATTCTCTGTGGATCTGTAAGAACTCTTTATATACATTAAGGATGTTAACCTACATCTGAGGGTTCAATAAATTCTGGATAGTTCCATAAAATAGTGTTTCTAAT